TGAAAATGCTGTGCTTGTTAAACCAAACCCCCCCCCTCCCCCACAGCAAAAGTCGCGGGCCTTCTGTCTCAGCTTAGGGGGGACCGGCCGGATGGATATAGCGGGCGGTCAGGAAACAAAGCATGGAGAACAGAAAGTAAAAGGGCATTAATGAGCACTCAGTCATGTTGGTGATCTTTCGGTTGGTTATATCTCCCTATGAGGAGATGATAAGTCTTTTTTGTGCGTGCAGTGGACTTCCTGCTGTACACACAGACCCTATCCTGTCTGCCTGTTCACGGACGCCTTGTTAGGTTGCTGCCGCTACTGCTACAAGAAGATCTTCAGACCCATCCTGTAGACTGGTTTTGAATGCTGTGGCAACACAGGAAATGATTCATATCTCCACATCCCACTCTCGCTCTGCAGTTTCTATTTTTGCTATTCATGGGGAAGGCAAAGACAAAAGTGTGGGACCGGAAATGTTCACAAGAGGAACGAGATCGACCAAGATTTGTCTATTGCATATGCTTTTCCCCCACGAAAATATAAATAAGAAAAAAACTTTTGTTTCCTCTCTCTTCTAAAGCTGATTACTTATCCTGCCACAAACTAGGGTTGACCTGCCGGATATGTTGCCGGAGATTAAGTTGCTGGGATGAGATCGATGAGCTGGCCTGTGCTTTCCAATCAGTAGGCATTTCCTTCACCTCTGTCTGTTTCTTCTTGTGATGTTCATTAAACACTTTTCGGGGACTGAACCCTACGACGTTCGACGGTTAGACATGATGCTGGAGGTTTGCTGACCTAAAGCGGCAAGAGCAACGAAAAAAAATAAAAAAATAAAAAGAAAATAGCGGGCTGCCGCACTGAGACTCACATATCTGCCTGCCACGTAAGGTAGTTTATAGGGTTAGGGTTGTTTCGTTGAAAAATTCGGGTTTTTGAAGAATAATTTCCGAAGAGCGGTATATATATGCCTTCGATCGGTGAGAGGAGAGGGAGGGAGGGGATGTGTTTCGGATGCCTGTGAATCAAGCAGGTAAACATTCCGTAGGCATCACTGAGATTTAATTTGTCCCCCGTCCAATATTTGCCTTATCGTTACCCAACGTCAATGATTGGTTCCGCTACTTCTTGTGCATCAAACGTTTGCTTTTCCTTTTTGTTGGCCGTGGGCCCTGCGCAAGGGCTTCTTTTGCCAATGTACGTAACGTCCATTCCATCCTCATCCTACTCTATTTCATTTTTGGGGGTGCCCCCAGGCCATCATATCCGTTTTCTCGTCCAGTTTCCGGCCGAGCATCTGCCGGCGGCGGTGGGAGGTTATGTAGACCATTTGGTAATCAAACCGGACCGCAAAGCCCAATATCGGATGCCGTTGCGCAGTGGATCCGCAAGGCTATGCTTATTCAGGAAAAGGACCCTGGATCGACAGTTCGCTTGCAATCTTGGCGGTAAAGAAGCTTATCTTGAAGCTGGAACGTGGGGCTCCAGAGGCGGGGTATTTGGAGAAATATTTGCTTGTGGGTGTGGTCAAGGTGAAGACGCCATATCCTTTTTTTCTCCTTTTTTTCTTTTTTGGACAGAGTTTTGTGACAAAGAGAACTCGGGGTTGATGCAGACAGGCGCACCCCTCAAGTCATACTCGTCATCATCATAAGTCTGCGCCAGCACGACAACACCATCCATCAATAACAATAGCCGGGGAAAGGAGGAGTAAGAGGATGTGATGTGGTGTGACTTGATATCATAGATGCCTATTCCTGTTTCATATTATTCTTCTTTCTCTCCGCCGAGCCTCCTCCTCCGGCTCATCTCCATATCGTTTCTCTCACCGTGCTCTTGGGATAGGCAGGGGGGGGGGGAGTAATATCAAGTCAGGTGAACGTGGTATCCTCGCCCTAGGAACTACACACGCGCGATAGGCCTCCATCCCAAACATGGAGATATATTGTGACGATGATGTTGTGTCTCGTGGTGTACCTCCTGAGGGGGCAATTGCGGGGCATCGGAAACACTGAGATTTGGTGTGATTCGAATCGTGGGGTACTGTCGGATCAGTTATTACCGTAGATACAAACGCCCAACCCCCAGGTTCTCCACAAGGTTGGGGAGCAGGGGGAGTAAGGAAAGTATTCGATGAAGGTTGGGGGGGGGGGGTGAGGTTTCCCTTCTCTATTTTGTGGTTCGTGACTTGTGAGTTGGTGTGACGATAGGCTGGTGTCTATCTACCCTATTCGCGTTGCTATGGTTGCTATGGACGAACGTACGATAGACATCATACGTCAGCGCAGAGGAACGAGAGAGACCCTTGATTGAACCCTTGATGCCACGGGAAGAAGAAAAAATAATTATGAGATATCTGACGACATCATACTCCAGAGCGGGGGAAAAAGCTATGAGTATTTACCGTCCGACTTTTTCCAGAGCAATAGGATTCTCATATCGAATATCAACATTTCGTCATTACCCCTCGTTTTTCGTTTTGACTTTAACCCTCTTCCTGCATCTCCATTTGTATCTTTCGGTGCGTACTCCGCCTTATGGCTTCGTGTCACATGGGCGCGACCATCCATCATGGGGAAACGCCAATAAGTCACAGAAATTGACTGAGCTCTATCCTGATAGAGCATTGTTGTGGTAATTGTGGATGAGAGCAAACACTGACTGACAGCTGGCGACGTCGACAAGTCGTTTTCTGGGACGAAATAAGCAAAAATGTCACCCCTCTCGAGGTGTCCTCTCTCCGATGCGTCGAATGAAGATTACCAAATGATGGAGACCCAACTGACTGCCGGATAGCACGTGTGTGTGCGTGTGTGAACAATTCCTGTACCTACACTAGGTATCGTCAATTTTGTACGAAAAAGGCTTTAGGACGCTAGAAACGCCATCACGGCGCGGCGGGCTTCTTTTTTCTTTCTTTTCGCTCTTCCTTCCTTCCTTCTTCTTCGTTCCCCAACGTGCAGTAGTTCAATGGCTGGGATTAGCTGCAGCCTCAATTGTATGTACTCTCAAGTACTTTATCTTACTCTATGAATCAACTCTAGAGTACACGTTAGAGACTACATGTAGGTACTCGCGACAGGCATGAAGTACCCGAATATGCAGCTGCAAGTTTTTGGTGTATTTTTGACTTCTACTCCAATGGAAATTGCAGATTAGGACGTGCATTTTCGGGTACTTGTTACCTGCTGCGAGTACTGCCCCGCAGATACAAAGCGGCAACAACTCCTGACAGCAGAGGGCCTTTTTTTTTTCCGTTGAAGTAAGATTTAGGATACGACTACCTAATTTTGGTTACGATAGGTAACTGATTCCGACCGACCCAGCACGCAAGGTCAACCCCCGCGACGTGCAGATGAGGAAGAAACAGGAAAACGAGGGGGGAGGGGGAGGCGAAAGGCTACGAAGTAGCATGTGGAGAGATATTCCTTGAGGTGGGGAAAAAAAGTAAACCACCACCACTGGCTCATCAACATCACTTGAGGTGAGTGGGCTTCAAGTTAAAAAAAAAAAAAAAAAAATGAGGGGAAAGGGGTAAGGAGGGGGAAGCGGGAAAAGGAATTATAAGAAAAACTTTGTATCAGCCATGCCATTCATCGAAGAGATCAGATTTATCCTCCAGTAACCTTTCAATACCAGGAGTTCCTCTTCCACGGCGCACGCAGCCATCCATCAAACTCACCCCCGCAGGGACCAGCGAACTTAAGTTCCCGCCGTCTCGGTCGGCTTGATCATGATGGATGGAATCGAGTGCGATTCCAATGCCTTTCTCGATGAATCGTGTCGTTGCTTTTTTCGCGAGACACGAGACATCTCAGAGCACAGTCTAGGGTTTTGGACTGTTGCACAAAGATAAAAAGACGTTGTCTTGTGTACGATACAACATTGATAGTCAAGACTTCTTTCGACATAGTCGTCAATCGGTATTGGTCAGAGTTACCTAGACATGCTGTGTACATAGACAGAAAACGTTGACGATAAAATACCTAGATAAGGTTGTCAAATTATGTTTGATATGGGTACATACACATGAGTATGTCTCTATGATCGGCCCAACGTCCAAGGCTCAACCCGATAACTTCCTGACTACATAATTTACTTAGCTTGGGCTTCAGCCGGGAACTTTGCTTCGCTGGTCTGCATAGAATTTTAATACCGGCCGTACTTTTGGGCCACTTCATTCTAGCGTACCCTAGAGTATATTGTAGTATGCGCAGTACATACATTACATTGTACCCCATTCCAAAGGGAGGAAATGTGATCTGCAATTCCCGCTGTCGATACATAGCCCGCCATGTAGGTAGGAACTAGGCCATGAAGACCCGTTCTTTGCAAAGGAGTCCCTTGAATACTCCGGATACCAACCGCAGAAAAGTGCAAGGACTTTTTTACAGGGTAAGGTTCCTACTAGACTTGGAATCTAAACTGAACACGCATGATCTTCTTATGTGTGGCCCTATATTTGATACTTCCTTCGGAGGGGTACCAGCAGCTAGCCAGGCAAGAGTCAGTAGTTACAAGATATATCAACAATTTCAAAACCATGCCCACACTCCAAATATTTAGAACAGATGCTGGTGAGATTCCATTGACATCGGCAGATTTCAAGTCGGTAGATCAGGTGAAGAACTCCGATCACCATCATCTGGGGAAGAGCTTGAAGGCACAGGTCGAAAGCTTGTGGTTCCTATGCTAGTAATTGAGAATCACGCGATATAAAGTACTTAATTGACCATTTCCCGGGGAACTCTTGTGCATAACCGCACCCACCCTCGCTGTGTACAAAACGCCGGAAATAAACAAATCGAGTTGTCCAGACGATTTAATATAAAAGATGAGGACACGGGGAAGCTAGGAACATTTCCCTACTATCCCCCGCGTCAATGATCGCCCACTACATATTCCATGATGAGAAGTTCGACTCCAAGGTGTTGGGGTCGTAATATAACCTACACCCGCTGCGGCGATCCGGGGGCCAGGCAGGCATGGAGTATTTTCTGGAGAACAATATTCTACCTTGCGTTCTCGAAATCAGGACGGAGATTCGGGGCGACGCTCCGGTCCGCCAGCCGACCACAATCTGATGGGAACCGTGCATTCGCCGCCTCCGTAAATCTCTTTAGAGTTGGAACTTTAAGGAATGGGGGTGAGAAAGCGAATATCAAATCGCCTTGCCTCCCCCCCACCACCATCAGTTTCAAATTTCGAAATGCATGCATTGGGGAGGTCGTTGCTGTGAAACGGAGCTGTGAGAAAGTTGCTTGATCTGGCACATGGAACGCTTGCACTGATCCGAATTGGCAACGCGGCGTCCCACATAACTTATCTGAGCGGTTGGAAAACACCCCCATTATTCCTCTTTTCCTTATCCATTTCCGAGAACGGCCGTCGACATCAGCTTTGGGTGACATGGGGTAAGTTTCCCAAAGCTGGAGAAGCAAGAGGCACGAAAAGGTACCTGCTGAATGAACACAAAAAAAAAAGTCTGGGGTAGCTACTCGAGGAAGTAACATAAACATGGATTTATGGACAAGTAAGCGCCAGCGAAGCCCCATTCTCGGATTATGAGCTTCACCCTTTCGGAAACTGCAAGCCCACATATTCATCCGCATCGATTTTCTCTGCTTCTCCATCGGTTTGGTTCGTCGTCAATGACATATGTAATCCGGTTATTTTTTACAGAAGTCCGGCTATATTCGACCATGGGCAACAAATTTTGGGGTTTCTGTGGGGTTTCCTCATGGGGGGTTAAGGGAAGGCTCATTCAGGGAGGAATGGTGGTGACCCAGTGGGGGCTGCCGATAGGATTGGACTTCTCCTTGGTGCGATGTATCAAAAAAGAACACGATCGAACATGCAACATGTTCCCTTGAGTTGTGGGACAAGATAAGAGAATTCCCAAGCTGAAGCACAGTGCTGTTATGTTATGTACTGTCTTGCTTGAAAGCAGCCAGCTCTCCTCACTTCCTACCTCATCTCACCTCACCCCTCCCCCATAGTAGGTACTCTAGAGTACTATCACCCCTTTTTCATTCTGCAGGAAGTCGTAATACCTACCTGGATCCTGTTTAACGATTCTCACCACTTTCACCGCTCCCCCCTCCAACTTCAAGATGGGATTGTAGTACTTGATTCTGTCAATGGATCTGAGTTTGATGGCCACATCTTTCGGTAGTTAGATGTAGGACGCGGGTGGCTGCAAGGGCCATCTGTTCTTCCGGTCATTCTCCCGAGTCCCCCTCCCCCCTAAAGGTAATGGGTACATATGTGGGGTTCCCGAGAGCCGGCGAGCCAAGGAAGTAGAGTGGACTGATCGCGATTTAATCTACTTCCCATATCTATTCCGAGAGTAAGATAAGTACTGCATGAAGACTCCGGGGCGAGTTTAGTTTTGGTAACCCGAGTTGTACAACTCAAGGCGAGGCTCTAATAAAATTAAAACCGTCTACACTACTCGAGCATGGGAATCTCGTAGGAAAATAACATAGAAATACATGATTCCTTCTTTTTCTCCGGCACTCCTTCTCTTTCAGAATAAACAATATTGGTACTTCTGTATAAAAGTTCTGACAAAAACGACCTCTAGGGTCTTCTATAAGGTGTCCGCCCCAAAAATCATAGACAAGAAAAGACAAATGAAATAAAAATGCGTAGTAGTGTGATGACAGTGGAGATGGGAAGTTTAAAAATAAAAAAAATAAAAAGAAATTTCCATGTCCCAGAAACAAACGCCCAAAAGTTCCATTCATGGTTTATCCCAATCATAATCCCTCTAATAATAACAGTGTAAAGAAAAACGAAAAAAAATATAGATAAAGATATTCGCCGTCCAAACCCCAAGAAAAAATTCCGCACCATTTCCAAAAAAGAAAATCGCTAATTACATCCTGTCGGCTAAATCCCCTCCGGCTATCGAATTTGACGTCGACGATGAAGCTGATGAGAATCCCAGACCGGAAGTGTTGTTGAGAAGATCATGAACGTGAACTCTGGGAACTGGGAGCTTCCTCTGAGCACCGTCAGGGCGATTGATGATATCACCCAGCCTGAGTCCCTTTGTTTGGTGTGCAGACTGAACGGGAGGGCTTCCCGCATTGTAGGGATCAGCGACCTCCATGGGCGCAAGAGCAGGCATGTGTCTCAATGACAAGTGCCGGATGCTGGGCAGCTGCATGTTGTACTCGAGATCGCGGTCGCGTGGGTATAGTCGAGGAGAATGTGCTGGGGTAGCAAGCGGGGTGCTCTCGGGTGTAGGAGAACATGAATCATGGGAGAAAGTGGGTGATGAGGGCGCAGTTGAAACCGGGGAACTAGGGCGAGATTTTTTGACTGAGCGATGAGATATGTACGGATCATCATCCTCGTGTGAGTGAGACCGAGACATCGGCTGGGTGCCATGAGACAGCGCCGGAAGTGCGGGACGGCTTCCGTAATAGCTATTGTGCTGCTGAGGATAATAATGTCTCTCACGCTCCAGTTGCTGGGAAGCAGTGTGGGCCAACATGCTCAGATCCAATCCAGAGGTTCCCTGCTGGTTACTCATCCCACCGAGGGAAGGACTGCTCGAGGCCCTTCCAAAAGGCGATAGCCCCGAATGGATTGATGGTGCGTGCATTCCATGATATGAGTGAGGGGGCGAGACATTGGGAGAGCCCACGTGGGATGGAGGAGCCGATTTTGAAATGATTTTCGGTGGAGGCGGCATCATCTTACCAGTTGTGGAGATAGCTGAACCATCGTGCTGTGCCTGAGCAGCAGCAGCAAGAGCAGCTTGCTGGTTTTTGTTGCTTCTTCGAGAGTTAGGATTTGTATGGATTCGAGAGTGTCTTGTAAGCTCATCAGAACGGCTGAACCTCTTTGAGCACCCAGGAAAGTTGCAACCATGAGGCTTCTCCCCAGTGTGAGTACGTATGTGTCTAGTCTGATGCTCTAACCGATGGAATGCCTTGTCACATAGAGGGCACTTATAAGGTCTAGGCAATTCAGGTCGTCCATCTTGCATTGCATCCTGTTGAGAGAGACTACCAAGAGGAGGTAGAAGACTATTTAGTCCCATCTGATGATTTCTATCGTCGTGAAAAGACATGGACTGAGGTATTGAGGATTGTTGAGGAGATTGGAGGAGGAGGGCTGAGAGGGAAGAAATATTGTTAGAGCCGGGTCGTTGCATGTGATTGACTATGGGTTTTTTTTTGTTGTTATTGTTGTTGATTGATGTTAGTTATGGTTGTGTGGGGGAAGGTTATTGCGGAGGTAGTTGTAGTGGGTGGTGATGATGAAGCGATGACGGACGCGAGTAAATAGTGTGGAGAAAAAAAATAATGGAGACGGCGTCCGCGGGGTTATATGTAGCCAGGCGCGGTGTCAGAGGCCTGTGGGAAAGGGGACAGAAATGGTGAGGGTGTGGGAGGGGGGGGGGGGGTGGGCAGAAGATTCACAGAGGGGGGGCGTGTGTTGGATTTGTAGTCTACCGATCGCTGGCCCCCGATGTTCGGGGAAATATTTTTTGCTTCTTTTTTTACGGACTGGGAAGGAGGAGGGTGGGACGGATGCTGCTGCAGTAGTAGTAGACCGTAGTAAAGCAGCACAGCACAACCACAAAACAGCAAACACTCAGCAATAGCAAAGTATTAACAGACGATGACGCTGATGACGCTGATGAGAGTAGACAAAAAAGAAGGGTTTGTGATGAGGCGGATGCGTGTATGCGTGGTCTGCTTAAGGGTTCCAAGCGCGGGGACTGGGGGATAGGAAAAATAAAAAAAAATAAAAAAAAAATATGAAGGCGGATTCCAGGTATGAATGTGAAAATTTCATCCAAGCAAAGGAAAAAAAAGTGAGGCGCTGTGATATTGTTGCCGCTGCTCCCCTAGGGCGAGTAAGTGCTACTGTGGTAGTAGTAGTAGTAGTATGTAGTAGTAGTAGCTGACTGGGTCGATGTGGGGACTACTGAGCCGCGGAGGGAATGGGGTACCAGGTGGGACAAGTTTATTGATGCAAGCCGGCGAGCAAAATAAATCGCCTAATTTTCTTCTTTCCTTCTCACTCTTTTCTTACAACACCTCCCGAGATCTTGATTGTTATTATTTGGATTCTGGCTCTACGGGTCCTGCTCACAGCACACCGACCCTGTCAGTTATGATCTGAAGCGCAGCTTAATGCCACGCCTTTCGTCTATCTTAGAGAGAACTGGGGAAATGCAGAGGGCGGGGCTGGCTTACTGCAACTGCGGACTGGTTGCGATAAGAGATGTTTCCAAGTGCGCTGCTGCTGGGTTTCGAACGTGTGGGCTACAGCGGGCTGTGTTCTTGAACGGACCAACAACTTTGTTTTATTTCTCTTTGTTTCTTATTTCGTTTTATATGAGTTGTAGAATTGGTCTGGGAAACAGGCGGGGAAATGATCTGGGGAAGGGCGGCCTTCTTGTACCAGATGTACCCAGAACACAAATATTCAACTTCGTCGTGAGTCGTGACCTTCGATGGATAGCTAGACAATACGCAACACGCACGTTTTGTGAGTCTTTGGAGGCTAAGCGGAACCAGAATGGGCGTGCGCACTCATTCGGGGCTCCACGGGCTGAGTGATGAGTGAGTGGGGTTGGCTACACACCTATCCAACCATCCTATCTTCGATCAAGTGGAAATTTCATCTGATACCGTTGTGTGGGGGAGCCGTCATGGCCCAGGCAGACAAATCCTCCCCCTCACCTCCTCGACGCCCATAATACCCTTTCCCAAAAGGGATTCGGCAGATGGCCACTTAACAACCTCATCCATCAATAAAAACAAAATTGGCTTGACAACCGCTACCACCGTTCCCTCATGGTGCGGCTTCTGTGGTACGCCGTATGTCTGATATGCAGTGGGGTATGGAGAAGAAAGCATAAAGCAGGCTATGGCTTGCAACATGATAGGATGAGGGAGGGTTAAAAGGGGTACGGTAGATGAACTGCAGTTTCCATGGAATTGCTGCGAAACTGGGCAAATAATAGAAATTCCTGTCACAACCAGATTCTGCTGTCCTTATGCACACTTCAGCTGTGAAGGGTTTCCGTGAAATGCGGCCTACTCATCCATGGCCGTACATACTCCGCTCTACCTAGGCGTAACTTGACAAGAGTAGGTAAAGAATAATGTGCAGACGGGCATACTATCATTTAAACAATGTGCATGTGGCTAGCGTCTAGGTACCTCTAGCTAGAGCTAGATGATCTGAAGGTGGTTTAGGTTTTGGGGGACTCCATGTTTCTCCTTCTCCGCCTTTTTAGACCGCCCTAGACATAAAAATACGTCTTTTGTCTAAAAATGATTTTATTTTCGCACTACATCTTGCCTCCGCCCGTGGCCCTTACCGTACCTTTTGTTGTTTCATAAAGCTTCACGGTTTCATCCTCGGCTTTGTCTCCGTACGGCTAGAATGGGCTCGTTCAGGGACATTCCACCCATTTTAGCTCATCCAGCTTTCGCGTGGGGGTACTGACGAAAGATGATACTGTGGTTTTGCGGGGTTAAGCTGACTTGAAGCACCGGAGGAAAGTCGGGAGTCGTTCCGTTTATTCTCTTTATTCTCAAGCCCTGCACATGGGCTTCGCCAGGCACATAGGCGATCCAGGTCTCCACATCATGCGAGATCGTTGGGAATGCTTCCTTCGATTTGGTTTGTCCGTCACGACAGGAACAGGCAACAGGCCCAGCGCCCCGTCGTATTTCATGTATAATTTGGCCAGAATCATCGACATCTGGACAATAGGCAAAGAGCGCTCCCACCTTCCCCGTCCCCTGACTTCTGGATATGGCCGCCGGAAACAACCTCCTCCTTCTCCTGGATTCTCCTGGCTCTTTCCTTCCTTTCTGCCTTCCTGTCAGGCACTTCGCTTCTTGATGCCCTTCACATGTTTAAGAAACCGGGAAATATGGATAATGCCCCACATCCGCGCGAATCTGGCATAGTTCTTGTAACCAACATCTCTCCCTTGCGGTGGATCGGGGGAGGGGCTCTACCGGGATGGGTGGCTACCCCAGTGCGTACTAGTACAAAGATGAATTTATCTTCCGCTCCGACGAAAAGTTTTTCCGTTGAACAGGCGACGGAGAAATTACTTACAGACTAGCACCCATCTGGCAATACCTACATAAAGTCCAGTACGGTACATCAAGGTGGCCTACCGGCCAGCCACTCTACATAAGGTAATAGGGAAAAAATAATTCTTACATGATGTACTCTAGATACATAGAGTACGGCTGCGGCCGAGAATGAAGGGGAAAAACGCTCAAAAAGCAGGCGATTGTCCAACACATGATAGATAGACTGCAATATATGGGGAGAGGGGAGGGAGAGGGAAGCGTGCGATGACCATACATAAGACGATGGCCAGATCCCTTCAGAATCAGACGGGGGAAACGCACGGCCAGAGAGGGAAGTGGAGGAGGAGGGAGTTGTAAGGCACTTATCTCTGAAGTGATTCTCATCCGACGTTTGTAGACAGCCCGGCTAATAACCCGGATTCACCCGAGACGTAGGCGTGGGCGTGGACAGGCAGGCAGGCAGGAGTAACAACGGAAATACGGAATATATTTTTTTTCCAGTCTTGTGGGGAAACTCCGGCCGTGCCTCTGTTGTTCCGTCGAGGAAGCTAGCTATACCGTTTTTCCCAGTTAAGCCAGAGGCTGGCCCAGCTAGGCTAGAGACCCAGCCCTTTGCGTTTAAATCGCTTGCCCTTACTTGCGGCTCATGAGATGAGGCTCGTTCAGGCACTCTCAGTCGTTTTTTTACTTTGTACTGTTGCCGCCGCCATGTTTCTCACGACCTTTTTCGACCCGGTCCCTCTACACACACCTCCTCCACCACATAGTCACCACCACCAACCACCTCCAACCACCAACCGCCAACCACAAACACAACGACTATTAGGTCCATGGCCTAGACGGGCATGCCTAGTGGTTTAGTTCCCACCGAGCTTGTAGGGCAACTCGTCATCCCGTGCACCGCTCTTGCAGTGTTCGGGTTAATCTGTCCCTCACCCTTTTTCTCTCTTGCCCTCAGACAGCCGCGACTTGTGCCGAGCCCTTTAACCTCCATGCTAGCCCCAGGTGGAACAGTAGACTCTCCACAATTCAACCAACAACCTGGAAGAATCCACATAGAGTACAAATTCAGATCAGGCAGGCAGCAGGCAGGCAGGCAGAGCAGTTATGCACATGTAGGAATATCGTCAAGGAAGAATGAAAGAAAAAAGTTCCTGCAGATGCGGAACGGCAAATTTATTGGATTTCCATGGACTCGGTGACATGACCTGAATGTTTTACCAGGGCGTCAATCATGCAGTAATGCCTAATCTCGGCGCGCGTGTTTGTTTCCTTACACCCCCATACCTGTGGAGGCGATGGAGGGAAAAAATACCGCGATCTTTTTCCGCTATCCCCGGGGCCTGTAGCTATGCTCAACTTTAGACTGTGAGTACTTTACCACCTAAAGTACTCTACCCGCATGGTACCTACATGTACGACTCTGGAGGAGCTCAAGTTTGGGTATCTGTATGTAGTACTCTACATGTAGTTTAGGCCTGGCCAGGTACTCTAGATGTTGTACTCTACATACAGCTGTATCATGTTGAGAACACATAGGCACCTACATGATATGATACTTCTCAATAGACTAGGGTGATAATCCATGACGGGGTGGTTTTTGCGGAGACGAAGACCATATGTAGTTTACGCTTGCAGCTGCCCTGCAGGGACTGACTCCGCAAATTGCCGAACAGCCTTCACTCCAGCCACGCTTGACTATTGGATGGAGAAGAGCACATATGCTCCGGAGGATGATGGTGTCTGTCTGCCCTGTACTACATACCTAGGCGTAGGTAGAGGCCGTAGAGTATGTACCTACATGATCACGCCGCCGCCGCCGCCGCCGCCCATCTTTGGTTTATTACGACGGTCAAGAAAGATACACACCACACTAGGACCCGTCGTCGGTGAGATCGTTAGGCGCATCAACCCTACACACTTGCGGGGAAAACACCGAGGGGCCGCCGCCCTGTCCATCGCTTTTCCTCCCACTGAGGGGTAGTTTGATTGTCTTGATCAACCAGCACAAAACATAACCAAGACGTATCTATCACACACGTGCTAGATACAAGCAACATCCTTATCTTGTCAGACATCTCCAGCAATCTGGCTCTCTGACACTATCCACTACCAGAAGTTGCATCCGCAGCAATAGCGCAACCCCGGATCTTAGCACTGTATCAAATTTTATTGAATCACAACGGTATTCAACCCTGCGTGATGGATGGCGCAATTGTTCGTTCGTACATAGGAGAGTAAGGTAACGAAAATTTCTTTCATTCAAAAAAAATCTCAACAAATAATATTTATCACGACATTGGTTAAATAATAACTAATCAAATATTAAAATGAATACGAAAAAAAACATAAACCCAATCAGAAGCTGAATAGGTATATATGCGCTATTAGCTAAACTTGCTTTGAAATATCAGCAGATGTCTCATTTTCGGACTTCTCAGCCGATAAATCTGGAGATTCTACGCCGTTGAATCTAGTGATGTCGTTACTACTGGTTATCTCCAGGCCGCTGTCTTCGATCTCATCATCTAAGAAGAGGTTGAGGATGATTGCGATGCTGCATTAAATAAAAGAAAAAAGTGGACGGCGTCAGTCTATCAGATACAATAACGTGGTCTTGCAGATGTCACTAAAGGTAAGGCTAATTCAACTCACAAGGCGGTTATGGCGAACCCGGTCTCCATAATGAGATTGACGGCATCGATCAACCCCTGCAGGCCTCCCCCGCCTGAATAAGTGAAGAAATGTCTGTCGTGGAGCAATAGTATTTAGCATCACGGCAATCAAGAGTGTCAACATCAGTTTAGAGCGGGGATAAGGCTCACTCAAACCAATCCGGAATAAGGGTGGCACCGTATCTGGGTTTCATTCGGTCAGTTTTGCAAAAGATACTTAACCAAGGCAGTATGCCACTTACCCCACTGAAAGAGATGCAGTAAGAATGAATCGATCTACACAGCGATAAAACCATAATACGTCAGTGTACATCTAGCCACATATAGGGGGGAAGAAAACCCACTCCGTCGACTGAACGGCATAGTCGCCGTAATACTCATTCCAGACACGGCAACAGCGCAGAACTGCAGATCCCCCATGAATCAGTCTCCACACGTCCCATCACCCGAAACCCGGAAGCCTACCAGAAACGTTGTCATGCCGCCGAGAACTGCCGACGGGATTGCGACCAGAGCAGCTGCGAACTTTGCGAAAATACCCATGATTATAAGGAAAGAACTGGAACAAGTGTCAGATACAGCGCCATTCGAACGAGAAATGAATCCAATCGACGGGTAGTTACCAGGCTGCATAGCCGGCCTTCCGGTTTGCGCATCGAGTAAGAGCCTATAACTGTCAGGGTATTCTTGATTCGAATGTTTGGAAGTGTATCCATCCACAGGACACTTACGATCACACCTGCAATATAATTTCTATTACTATCTTCAACTCAAAAAGGATGGATATCAGAGGACATACCATTGTTCTGGGCATATGTCGACATGGGAGTAATTGTAGCAAGGCCAGCAACAAGGCCGTTGAGGCCATCCGCCAATAATCCTCCTTGGATTCTTGAATCGAATAGCCCGCCTTCAACATCTAGTCTGGAAACTATAGCAACAGTTAATCCTAATGTTTCATTTCGGGGCTTGGGAAGCAATAACATACCATCACAAGTTGCGGTTATATCACCAATTGCTTCGCAGGCTAAAATGATATACACCGCTAGCAGGCTACATGGCGTGGATTTAGCTACATGTATTTACCCCACAAAAGGGAGGGGTATATGCTTACGGCAGTACTAGTGGCCCGTATACTGAGAGCTTAAATATGTACACCCAAACGAACGAGACAGCAGGTGCCTGAGAATGATTGAAAAATTAGCATCAATCTCAAGTTATAAATACTGAAATAATGTCTTACGTCGTTGATACCAGTCTTGTCGAAATAATTGGTTGCTCCAGCGATGATGCATCCAGTAAGGAGACCAATCACAATGCTAGTGGACTTCATAATTGGACCTATCACAGCATTCAGCGAAATGTACCTATCACAGCTTTAGTGGAAGACGACTGCATACTTCCAAACCTCTCACACAATATAATTGTGATGAATACCGAAAACCCCAACCCTAGAATTATCAGCCTTGTTCAATTCTGTCATTTGATCTAACAAACCAATGAACTCTGTCGCGCCCCACGGCAGCGGATGTGGCGCATTTATACTAGGGCACAATGAATATAATCCAGTCTCTGGCATATTCATACATGGCCCCGATCCTCCCAGCCAATTCTTGAATCCACTGCTAATAAGCTTTACACCGACGAGTAAAACAGTGGGACCAGTGACTATGGGGGGAAAGATGCGTTGGATCCATCGAGTAGGCATGAAAGATATGAATATCTCGAGAAATGCACAAACTATACCGGTTCCGAGGAGGGCACCTAAAGAAAGCTATGTTAGTTTTCTGTCTTCGGGTTTGAATCACTAATCATAAAATATCACTCGGTTATTGATGTTTTTAGAAAGTGTTACCATAGGCATCGGGACAAGGCTGACGGATGCCGTTTTCATCTGTAAGACCTGTATTATACCAAAAGATCACATTAGATAGATCCTTCCTCGCCGTTTTTGGTGTTCTTGAAAGGAAGTATAAACGCACACTGTTGATTGAGGTTAGTCCATGCTAGTAGCTGAAGAAGCAGGGGAAACAATTACCTTTCCGTTCTGGTACATCTGTTCAAACGCGCCCAGTGCAACCGGGATTATAGCAAAAGATGTTCCAACTCTGCATATGGTTTTATGAGCTTCTAGTATCTTTGATAACAACAATATCATAATAACTTACACCGATATCAAACCCGTACCAATATAATACGGTGTCCCCTTGATGTGAAACCTGGTGATTTGTATCGCCGACAAAAATCCACAAACAATCAAGGAAGTCGACACCAAATACCGTGTCATTTCCGGCCCTAGATTTACGGCGTTTCCTATAATAATTGGCGGAGAAACAACGCCTGCCAACATTGCAAGTGCACTATGAGAGATAACATTAGTAATACGTTGGCAGAGAGAGACGTGGTGTGCATAATTACTGTTGGAATCCGAGGATTAGTCCTAGGACAACCGGCATGCGGTCATCGAGGCCGAAGAACGGGGCGGCTTTGCGCGGGCGGCGCATGAATGGTAGGTTGGGCTATATGGAAAACATTAGAGAGGTGGTCTCGCGTCGTAAACTGGATCATGCGTACACGAAAGAGGAAGCCATAATCGTAGTTACCAAGTAGTCCGTCCCTATATCACATGTATTAGCAGTTATCGTACAAAACAAATGGTTGAAAAAGCATGCCTCGTCAGAAATGCATGCTTAACAGCACGAACACGATCTGCCATGGTTTTTTTTGGCCCGACATCTGGCCCAATTCTGTCCGGTTCAGACATTCTGATGTTAATTAGATTTGGTGAAAAATGAGTCCAGTTTTTTTTCCTGCACTTCTTGTTCCTGGTTGGCCGATTTAACCTAATTTATGGTCCGGTGTTCTAAGATTATGGTCCAAGCACCCCCACAAAATGTTGTGATCTGCGTAATAGTATTGGGGTAGAAGATGTCAGCTTGGTTGATACAACAGCTTACAGTCCTATAGTAGTGGTTGGCTTCGAGTGCCTCAAGAACACGGTCTTTAATTTCATCTGGATTAAGCTTACTTTCTATATATAATGTTACGGTGGGCTCTGAGTAGCTCTGTCATCTATCGCCACACTACGAGCTGCGACTGTACACGATATCCGTATGATAAGGAATACCAATAAGCCAAGTCACTGCCGTTAGTTACACGATAACCTACCATGTAAACTTCAACACCCAGTCCTCCACACGCATTTGAAATTTACTGCTGTAACCGTGAGACAGTGTAGAGCTAGAGTAGAGGGAAGCGGCGACGGAGTGGCCCGAAACAAGGGCGCTGGCTGGGAATCGCGGAACTGCCCTAAAAGAGGCGGGAAAGGTGGAAGAATACGGGCCTATCAGAACGTGCAGTTGCTACTTATTTTTTTTCTTTTCTTCGCCTGATCGTGCTTTACATATGGGGCCTATCCGCGCACACCGGCAAGCTCTTGTCTAAGAGTACCTGCTTTGGCTTTCAGCAGTTAGTGTGAGTTTGGGGTGATGCGCCGATTTCTGGCTCGAGCGCCTCCGATAATCCTGTCTGCCCAGACAAAGGCTTGAAGAATGTTAATCAGTCGACAACTGATATTGAGTCGCACAGTGCTAGTAATAATACCTAATATATAATAACAATAAATACTTATCTTATCGCACGCGTTGGTTGCAGATCCCCACGCATGCATGCGGAGTTATGAGGCAGCATTGGGGCTTGATAAGTACCCGCTCGTACTTACATGGTTAATCTCTATCAACTTTGATTATCCCTACTTAACCAGGTGTGGAACGTGTGGAACGCGATGAACGGGTTCAAGCGGAGGAGTCGATCTGCCCTCGCTTGAGCCTAATCACAAGATGGATCTGACCGGGTTGGTTTTTTGGAAGAAAAAGAAGAAAAGAAACTCGAAAAAGACGAGAGGTGAGGTTACGGTTGCTTCCTACTGTATGTACTGAATATCGAAGATTGGTGAAGCGGAAGCAACCGTCTTCGCCACATACCGGGTAGTATCCACCAGTTACAGTATCGGAGACCGGAGGATTTACCTCGGCATTGTGTCAATTACCAAAATCTATCGAGTCAGCAATCGTAACATACCGCGTATGTTGCCCCGAGAGTAGGGATGATCGGAGTCCTTGCATGTTCGAGTGACTTTCTGTGAAGATTCGACAGATAACCTCGACTGGATAACGTCAAGACCGGGCAAGTTCGTAGACATAGGCATTTAACTTCAAGTAATTCTTGTCTGGGGAGAGATTTATGCTTTCATTTCTAAAGCAACGCGTACAAGATAAACCCACACGTAGCTACTTTCAATCCCAACAACAAAAGTTGCTTGCCGTTTTCTGAGAGGCCTAGGTCCCAGCCAGGAGACCAAATGCGAGGAGGTCATCTCCTAGATCCAACCATTCAGTGTCTAAAGCACTATCTAAAGCTACGGCCAGCCCATAAATCTGACATACGAATCGCGTATCCATACAATGGAGAGGTTTCGCAACAAATATTTTAAATTCGGATCCCGGATGAGTTAGGATTTCGGGCTCCACTCCTCAACCTCAGTTATTGGAAATGCAGTTAAGCAACGCCCCCACACCTTTCCATCCTACTACACTCCTTCACCTGCATGCATGTCACATACCTCTCTACCCCAGTTGTACCTGTATCTCAGCCATCCAGGTAAGTATTCATCCCTGGATTAAAGAACATTTCTAACAGAAGCTATAGTACACAATGTCATCTAGACAATTAAGGAATGATGAGATAATGCAGATAGAGCATATTTTGCTGCATCCTCCTGATGATTTTCACAACCAAAACGGAAACGAAACGACGCACGGAAACGAAACGACGCACGGAAACGAAACACGGCGGAACAAAATACAGATTAGATATGACAATAGGGAAGCAGGAGATCTCTGCAGGGGAGGATTGAATCGGAACGAAACGTCGTCGGGAAACGAAACGCGCTGCGGAAACGAAACACCGCCGAGAGAAACTCTGGTAGAGGTCGAGAATGAGTTCTCCGAGACCTTTATGATGTCGGACAGTGACTGGGACGAATCACTACTGGAAAACAGAACTTCCACTTTGGCTGATATAGCTGCTGCTTGCGAGTCTCCTATTGATCTGACTGGGATTGATTCACCTGTGCGGGCAGGTGAGAAATCTCAAGTGGCGGTCGTGCAGAAGAAAAAGAAGCCTATGAGGAAGACTAAGGTCTATATCAAGGACCCGGAAATGCAAACCCTGCTTGTGCGCATGTGCATTTCCCATTTCCCCGAACTCAGTGAGAAAGGGTCGACCAAGAAGAAATTCTGGGAGGTTATGAGGGAGGAGTACCGGAAGGAAACTCTAACGGGGACTATGGGCGTAGGGACTATGAAGCCAAGGAATACAACCGAGGCGAAGACGTGGACGTAGGAAGTTCGTGGACTATGGACTATGGGGCCGAAGGGTACACCTAAGGCAAGAACGGAGACTGTGGACTATGGACTATGGATGGTTGTACCTGGTCTAGTATACCGGGTAAACCCTATGACGTAGCGCGAACCTAATAGTATTCGTGACTGTAAAGTACAGAGGTTGCATAAAGAGAAAAGAGAAAGAAAGAGAAACAAGAAATCACGAGACAACGCCCCCCTTATATATCCATACCCTATCCCAATGCTGACTCATACCCTCGCGTAACAGAAACAAATAGAACATAATAGAAACCCACTTCACTAAACCCAACCACACTGCATAATCCTTCTCCCTTGTACCCAGACAACTCACATAGCCAATCCGTCTAGCTGCCGTTACAGACCACTCCCCCCTCTACGGCCTACCTCCTGGTAGGCTTAGGCTTCCGTGGATATCGTTCGTGAAATCGTTTGACAATATCAGGCGAGTGTTCGACATCCGACAATGGCTGCCACGAAGCTTCGTCATAACCGGCATACTTAACCAAGTATTCAAATCTTCCTCGACGATCCCTGGAATCCAAAATATTCTCGACTTCCCACTCCTCCTGTCCTTCAACTTCGACCGGTGGTGGTGGTAACTGTTGTTGTCCTGGTAGGGGATCAATGGCTTCCGGCGACAGTAACGAAACATGAAATACAGGGTGGACCTTCATAGAACGAGGAAGTTCTAATTCATAGGCATAGGGATTGACAATTCGTTTAATAACATATGGCCCAATACGCTTCCAATCGAGTTTCTTCGAGGGTCGTTTGGTAAGGACATGGCGGGTGGATAGGAAAACCTTATCTCCCACACGATAGTGAGGAGCGGGAGCCCGACTGGTATTGGCCGACTCTTCTTGAATCCTTTGCGCTCGGAACAACTCATCTCGTAGAAAATCTAATACCTCCTTCATCTCCCGTGCGATACCATTAGCCTGATCCTCTGCTGTCGTCCTACCATGTTCCAAAGGACCGAACGTCATTCTTGGATTTCGTCCTGAATTGGCAAAGAAAGGAGATATCTTTGTTGTTTCTGAAGTGTGATTGTTGGTCGCAAATTCAGCCATTGGTAACCATCGAGTCCAGTCATCTTGTTGATAGGAAACATAACTCCGAAGGTACTGTTCCATCACGGCATTAATCCTTTCCGTCTGCCCATCCGTCTGAGGGTGGAACGCAGTAGAAAACTTTGGTGATATTTCCAGACGGTCGCAAAGAGACCTCCAGAATTCCGCAACGAATTGTGTCCCTCGATCGGATACCATAGTGTCGGGTAACCCATGTAATTTCCAAACATTGTCAATATACAGTCTCGCTACTTCCCTTGAATCCGCCTCCTTTGTTGTTGGTATTAGGTGTCGCATCTTAGTTAACCTATCCACCACGACCAAGATTGCATTGTATCCATCGCTCTCTGGGAGGTCGGTAACAAAATCCATTGACACATCTGTCCATGGTCCATCGGGTATTGGCATAGGTCGAAGTACCCCATAAGGTGCATTGCGTGGTGCCTTGCTACGGGCACACACACTGCAATTCCTAACGTACTGGTCGACATATTTTCGCATCTGTGGCCAGTAGTACTCTCGATTCAGGAGTTCCAAAGTCTTCGCTCTACCTGGATGGCCTGCCGATGGTTTGTCATGATGTTCCTTTAGGAGTCTTAGCCGAAGGTCGTCGACATCCGGTACATAGAGTGCGCCACGGTAAAGTAGCCGACCGTTATTATCTTCCGTACATTCGGCAAGCGAGATCTTATTCGAGTGACGGACGCCGTTCCGAAGCATCGCGAGTACTTTGTTCGGGAAACTGTCAACTTGGTAAGCATTTAAAAACAACTCTTCTACAGTGGACATTCCTTCAGCGGATTCATTTGAAAAAGAACCCGCGAACAAACTTAGCTTTGCATCTAAATTTTTTCGCTTCAACACCACTTGACTCTGATGGGTCAACCGCTCATCCCCTTCTTTAGGCAGGTCACGCGACCTCCTAGTCAATGCATCTGGTTTCGCCCCTTGTTTTCCTGGTCTAAATTGAATGACGAAATCGAAACGTGAAAGAAATTCCGACCAACGGGCTTGTCGACGGTTTAATAACTTTGTTGACATGAAATATTCAAGGTTCCGATGGTCGCTCAGAACTTCAATTGGGAATTGTGCCCCCTCTAAATGATGTCGCCATTCCTCAAAACATCGTACGATCGCCAGGAGTTCTTTGTCATAGATCTCATAGTTACATTCCGCAGGGGAATGTTTCTTAGAGAAGAAAGCGACTGGATGTAGAATTCCTTCGTTGTCACGTTGGGACAGGATTCCAGCAGAAACATAGTCGGATGCATCGGTTTCTACCACGATTTTCCGATCCGGATCAAAATGCATTAGTATGGGTGCCGTTATGAACATCTTCTTCAATATCTGGAATGCCTCCTCCCTCTCATCCGTCCATTCAAATTTAATATTTTTCTTGGTCAAAGCCGTAAGCGGAGCAACAATCCTTGAATATCCTAAAATAAACCGTCGATAGAAATTCGCAAATCCCAAAAATACTTGAACATCATGAAGGTTCCTTGGTGTAGACCACTCCAAAACATCGACAACTTTCTTCGGATCCATTCGATTCCCATCCGGGGTGAGAATCAAACCAAGATACTTTGTTTCTTGAACCATAAACTCACACTTCTCAGGTTTAAGATGGACATGATTCTCATCAAGTACCTTCAAAACCTTTTGAATGTGTTCCTTGTGTTCCGATAGAGTTTCGGAATAAATCAGGATATCGTCCAAATACGCCGTTACAAATTGGTCGAGGTAGGGGCGTAGAATATCATTAATCCAATGTTGAAAGGTGGCGGGGGCGTTGGCTAATCCAAACGGCATTACTGTATACTCGAAATGTCCATATCGAGTTCTAAATGCCGTTTTCCATTCGTCTCCCTCCGCTACCCTGATCTGATTGTATCCCCAACGTAGATCCAACTTGGTATAGTACTGTGCCTTCGAAAGTTTAGCCAAAGTTTCCTTTAACAGTGGTAACGGGTACCGATTTTTGACTGTGATCGCATTGAGACCTCGGTAATCCACACATAGCCGGAGAGTCCCATCACTTTTCTTTACGAATAGTATAGGTGCTCCTGCCGGTGATTCACTAGCTCTGATAAATCCCTTTGGTAGATTTTCATCGAGGTATTCCCGTAGCGCTTTTAATTCAATCTGGGACAGGCCGTATATTGGTCCATATGGAGGTCGTTTACCTTCCTCCAATACGATCTCAATATCATGGGACTGTCGATGTGGCGGCAGGACAGAAGCATCATATTCTTGGAACATGTGGAGACGATGGTGGAACTCCTTTGGTACTAGTTGCTTGACGTTGACGGTGGATTTCTCAACTGCTGAAACGACAATAGTATGATGTTCTGGTAGAGGGATCGATATTCCATGGACAGTGACTGCAGTTTCATTGAGTGAACAGTGTTTAATACAGTCCCGAGAATCAAAAACAAGTAGATTATCCTTTGGCCGAATGGTGACATCGTGCCGTCGCATCCACGGTATTCCCATCACGATCGGATAATGTCCCAACTTTGTAACGAAACATGAAGCAATTTCTCGGTGGCCATGAATATCTAGTGAAACATCGACAATGTGGGTAATTTCTCCTGACTGGATAGGTCTTCCATCCATAACATCTACCTGGCGAGGTTTCCTAAGAGGGGTCATTGCAAGATTATTGTAACGTACGAAAGATTCATCGATAAAAGCATATCCTGATGCTCCAGTATCAATGAGAGCGTAGGTGGGAATGAAGGAGTCGGAATTCTGAGAGACCGAACAGGTAACAACAAGAGAGTCTTCGGACATCTTATCCTCAGACACAGCAGCAGCAGGGAGAACAGAAACAGGTGGCGGGGCTGGCCCCTTTGGTTTGCCATTTTTTACCAAAGGGGCTGACCTTTTAGCGCCGGCTTTGGGGACACATTTTCAATTGGCCTTTCTCGCCAATTACTAATGGTACGGGGATCCTGAGAGCGAGGGGACAGATAGCGAGACTTGGAGACATGGCGAGGTTTAACTGTAGCGGCAGAGACGGAGATACGAGAACGAAGACCGGCAATAGTGGCATTGGCTTGGGCTTCCCAGGCTTTTGCAGCAGAGATGATGTGAAGAATTTCGTCTTCAGCATCGGCGAGGTTCTCGTCGGCAATGGCGAGACTTTCCTGGTGTAGGGCGAGACGATACCGAAGTTCTTCTTCTTCGGCCTTTGATTCTTCGAGCTCGCCCTTGAGAGCAACGATAACTTCATCGCGGCCCTGGATAGTCTCGGTAAAGTCTTCCTGGCATTCGGACAAGGTTTGCAATAGATCGGCAGCCTTTTCGTCAGCTGCTTCGAGTTCCTTGGTGAGATCGATAATGACCTCTTCTTGAGCCGTGTTGATAACGGGTTCGGGGATTTCGGAAGGCTTGGTGAAAGCCTCCAAACATTCAGCAATGAGATTATGGGCCTCGGTAAGTTCATCACCGAAGTCTATATCCGCTGGGAGAGGACCATATATGGTCAAAAATTCTGAAAGACGCTGCAACAACGTATCTTGAGTGATGTCGGACATGGTCGCGACCAGAGCTAAGCGAGGCGGTGTTGTATTGGTTGGCTGTAGAGGATGCAACCTAAGTCTAACGGGGACTATGGGCGTAGGGACTATGAAGCCAAGGAATACAACCGAGGCGAAGACGTGGACGTAGGAAGTTCGTGGACTATGGACTATGGGGCCGAAGGGTACACCTAAGGCAAGAACGGAGACTGTGGACTATGGACTATGGATGGTTGTACCTGGTCTAGTATACCGGGTAAACCCTATGACGTAGCGCGAACCTAATAGTATTCGTGACTGTAAAGTACAGAGGTTGCATAAAGAGAAAAGAGAAAGAAAGAGAAACAAGAAATCACGAGACAACGCCCCCCTTATATATCCATACCCTATCCCAATGCTGACTCATACCCTCGCGTAACAGAAACAAATAGAACATAATAGAAACCCACTTCACTAAACCCAACCACACTGCATAATCCTTCTCCCTTGTACCCAGACAACTCACATAGCCAATCCGTCTAGCTGCCGTTACAGAAACAGGGATTGACGCTATCGTTATGGGCTTCATGAAGACTTGGGAGGACGAAAGGAGGAAAGCTGTTGAAAAAGAAAAATGGCAGAGTGGGTTGGCAAAAGCGGAAACAGAGAAAGATCAAGCTCTCGATCTATGGATTCAATTGATAGATGAATTGCAGAGTGATTCGAGCAAAGGAAAGAAAAAGAGTGAGAGTATGTTAGAGAGGGAGAAGCAAGTTAGCAGTGATCTGCGAAGCAATATGAGCAGTAGTTTGGCTAGGAAAAGAAAGATTGAGAGTACCGGTGAGGGTTTCTCAAGGAAGAGGGCTATGTCGGAAGGAAGTAGTAAGGACCTGCCGGTCAGGGGAAATGCAAAAATGATGGAGACTATACTAGATTCAAATGAGCGGGGAGACGAGCTTATGATCAGCAAATGGAGTGAGATTGAGAAGGAGAAAATGGACCGGTATGAGCGGATTATTGATAAGAGTAGAGAGCAGCATGAAGCTGAACAACAGCGGAAGGAGGAATTTGATGGTTTATCAAAGCGGGTTGACCGGGTTTTGGCTCTGTTAGAGAATGGCCGTGAGCGTTAAACTATATGGGTTCTTGAACCCCAAAGTATTCATATATACTAGGAGGATTACAGTTGAACTTATCGCTAGTAATACAACTATTAAAACATGTATGGCAGTTTGTGAACAAACACGCAACAAAATAATAGGCAGCGACAGGTGATAAACCAATCTTCAACTCATTCTTGTAACCACAAAATCCGAAGTTGTTAATCACCTTTCCAAAGCCCCATTCTACTCATATTCTCATTCTTGATATTTCGCGGTTGAAGATTCGTTGTTCATGTGTAAGAGGGGTCCTTGGTCTTGCTCGATAGGCACCCATAATGCTCTCTCCTAAATAGTAGGCTGCATCACCGTATACCAACAGTCTAGATCCCTCCTCGTCGTATGCGTATAGATTTAGTTTCTCTTCTATTCCAGACCGTCGGAGGACACCCCAATCTCCCAAACGTCCCTCCCATGGTCCAGATAAGCTTGAGATCAGGCCATCAGGTGTGACAATAGCCTGCCATATCATCGTATGCGCTTTCTTATACCCGCTGTATAAGAGTTGTTGGTCTGCTACTGTATCACCTGGACGGCAAAAGGGTCGTTGTGTGCCATCAATAAAGCCCCAAATTTGACCAAAAGGGTCTCCACCCATATGTCTTCCAATTGTATTCGCATACTTTGTCAAAGCTTCGGGTGTAAGACGTAGAGGATCAAAAAATAATTGGTCCTTATATCTGTTGTACAGGTGTTCGCAGGTATCATTAATAATAATAGAAAGCCAGCTAAACGAGTGTAACGGCAGCTAGTCGGATTGGCTATGTGAGTTGTCTGGGTACAAGGGAGAAGGATTATGTAGTGTGGTTGGGTTTAGTAAAGCGAGTTTCTATTATGTTCTTTCTGTTTCTGTTACGCGAGGGTATGAGTCAGCATTGGGATAGGGTATGGATATATAAGGGGGGCGTTGTTTCGTGATTTCTTGTTTCTCTTTCTTTCTCTTTTCTCTTTACGCAACCTCTGTACTTCACAGTTACGAATACTATTTGGTTCGCGCTACGTCATAGGGTTTACCCGGTACACTAGACCAGGTACAACCATCCATAGTCCATAGTCCACAGTCCCCGTTCTCGCCTTAGGTATACCCTTCGGCCCCATAGTCCATAGTCCACGAACTTCCTACGTCCAAGTCTTCGCCTCGGTTGTATTCCTTGGCTTCATAGTTCCTACGCCCACGGTCTCCGTTACACTTAGGTTGCGTCCTCTACAGCCAACCGATACAACACCACCTTGCTTAGCTCTGGTCGCGACTATGTCCGACACCACTCAGGATACGCTGTTGCAGCGTCTTTCAGAATTTCTGACCACCTATGGTCCCCTCCCAGCCGATATAGACTTCGGCGAAGAACTTACCGAGGCTCATGGTCTTATTGCTGAGTGTTTGGAGGCTCTCACCAAGCCTCTCGACACCCCCACGCCACCAGAACCCGTCATCGATACGGCCCAAAAAGAGGTTATTACCAGCCTCACCATAGAACTAGAAGCAGCCAACGAAAAGGCTGCCGATTTTTGGCAAACCTTGTGCGATAACCAGGAAGATTCTACCGAGATCATCCGAGGTCGCGACGAGGTTATCATTGCTTTAAAGATTGAGCTGGAGGAGTCTAAGGCCGAAGAGGAGGAGCTTCGGTATCGCCTGGCACTACATCAGGAAAGTCTCGCCATCGCTGATGAGAACCTCGCTGATGCTGAAGATGAGATTCTTCATATCACCTCTGTTGCAAAGGCCTGGGAGTCCGAAGCCAATGCCACCATTGCCGATCTTCGCTCCCGTGTCTCCGTTCCTGCCGCTAGAGTTAAAACCCAATCTCGCCATGTTTCCAAGTCTCGCTACCTCGCCCCTCGCTCCCAAGACCCCCGTACCATCAACAATTGGCGAGAAAAGCCAATTGAACAAGTGTCTCAAAAGCCAGCGTTAAAAGGTCAGCCCCTTTGGTAGAAAATGGCAAACCAAAGGGGCTAGCCCCGCCACCAGTCTCTGATATTTCTGCTGCTGCCGTGTCTGAGGACAAGATGTCTGAAGACTCTCTTGTCGTTACCTGCTCGGTCTCTCAGAATCCTGACTCTTTTATACCCACCTATGCCCTTATTGATACCGGAGCTTCTGGGTACGCTTTTATTGACGAATCTTTTGTACGCCACTATAATCTTACAATGACCCGCCTTAAAGTACCTCGTCAGGTAGATGTTATGGATGGGAGGCCTATTGAATCAGGAAAGATCACCCATATTGTCAATGTGTCGCTGGATATCCATGGTCATCGGGAAATTGCATCATGTTTTGTAACGAAGCTGGGACACTATCCAATTGTGATGGGAATACCTTGGATGCGACGTCACGATGTTACGATTCGGCCGAAGGAAAATTTACTTGTTTTTGACTCTCGAAGCTGTTGTCAACACTGTTCACTCAGTGGAAAGACAGTCACTGTCCATGGAATATCGATCCCTCTACCGGAACATCATACTGTTGTCGTTTCAGCAATTGAGAAATCCACCGTCGATGTTAAGCAACTAGTACCAAAGGAGTTCCACCATCGTCTCCATATGTTCCAAGAATATGATGCTTCAGTCCTTCCACCACATCGGCCATCACATGATATTGAGATCGTATTGGAGGAAGGTAAACGACCACCGTATGGACCGATATATGGATTATCCCAGATCGAATTAAAAGCGCTACGGGAATACCTTGACGAAAACCTACCAAAAGGATTCATTCGAGCCAGTGAGTCACCAGCGGGAGCACCCATACTATTTGTAAAGAAAAGTGATGGAACTCTCCGACTCTGCGTAGATTATCGGGGCCTAAATGCAATTACGATCAAGAACCGCTATCCGTTACCCCTGTTGAAGGAAACTCTGGCCAAACTTTCAAAGGCACGATATTATACCAAGCTAGATTTGCGTTGGGGATATAATCAGATTAGGGTAGCGGAGGGGGATGAATGGAAAACAGCGTTTAGGACTCGGTATGGACATTTCGAATATACAGTCATGCCATTTGGATTAGCCAACGCCCCTGCCACGTTCCAACACTGGATCAATGATATCTTACGACCATACCTCGACCAATTTGTGACAGCATACCTAGATGACATTCTTATCTACTCGGAAACCATGGCAGAACACAAAGAGCACATTCAAAAGGTTTTGAAGGTACTTGATGAGAATCATGTTCACCTTAAGCCTGAGAAATGTGAATTTATGATCCAGGAAACGAAGTATCTCGGCCTTATTCTCACCCCGGATGGGAATAGGATGGATCCGAAGAAAGTTGTCGATGTTTTGGAATGGTCCACACCAAGGAATCTCCATGATGTTCAAGTATTTCTGGGATTTGCGAATTTCTATCGGCGTTTTATTCTAGGATACTCAAAAATTGTTGCTCCGCTTACAGCTCTAACCAAGAAAAATGTCAAATTCGAATGGACGGATAAAAGGGAGGAAGCATTCCAGACATTGAAAAAGATGTTCATAACGGCACCCATACTAATGCACTTTGATCCGGATCGGAAAATCGTGGTAGAAACCGATGCATCCGACTATGTTTCTGCTGGAATTCTGTCCCAACGTGACGACGAAGGAATTCTACATCCAGTCGCTTTCTTCTCAAAGAAGCATTCCCCTGCGGAATGCAACTATGAAATCTATGACAAAGAACTCCTGGCAATTGTACGATGTTTTGAGGAATGGCGACATCATTTGGAAGGGGCACAATTCCCAATCGAAGTCCTCAGCGATCATAGGAATCTCGAATATTTTATGTCAACAAAGCTATTAAACCGTCGACAAGCCCGTTGGTCGGAATTTCTTTCACGTTTTGATTTCGTCATTCAATTTAGACCAGGAAAACAAGGGGCAAAGCCGGATGCATTAACTAGGAGGTCAGGTGACCTACCTAAGGAGGGGGATGAACGGTTGACGCATCAAAGCCAGGTGGTTTTGAAGCGAAAAAATTTGGATTCAAAGCTAAGTTTGTTCGCGGGTTCTTTTTCAAATGAATCCGCTGAAGGAATGTCCACTGTAGAAGAGTTGTTTTTAAATGCTTACCAAGTTGACAGTTTCCCGAACAAAGTACTCGCGATGCTTCGGAATGGCGTCCGTCACTCGAATAAGATCTCGCTTGCCGAATGCACGGAAGATAACAACGGTCGGCTACTTTACCGTGGCGCACTCTATGTACCCGACGACAATGACCTTCGGCTAAGACTTCTAAAAGAGTATCATGACAAACCATCGGCAGGTCATCCAGGCAGAGCGAAGACTTTGGAACTCCTGAATCGAGAGTATTACTGACCACAAATGCGGAAGTATATCGATCAGTATGTTCGGAATTGCAATGTGTGTGCCCGTAGCAAGGCACTACGCAATGCACCCTATGGAGTACTCCGCCCGATGCCAATATCCGATGGACCATGGACGGATGTGTCAATGGATTTTGTTACCGACCTCCCGGAGAGCGATGGATACAATGCAATCTTGGTCGTGGTGGATAGGTTAACTAAGATGCGACACCTAATACCAACAACAAAGGAGGCGGACTCAAGGGAAGTAGCGAGATTGTATATTGACAATGTTTGGAAATTACATGGGTTACCCGATACTATGGTATCCGACCGAGGGATACAATTCGTTGCGGAATTCTGGAGGTCTCTTTGCGACCGTCTGGAAATATCACCAAAGTTTTCTACCGCGTTCCACCCTCAGACGGATGGGCAGACGGAAAGGATTAATGCCGTGATGGAACAGTACCTTCGGAGTTATGTTTCCTATCAACAAGATGACTGGACTCGATGGTTACCAATGGCTGAATTTGCGACCAACAATCACGTTTCAGAAACAACAAAGATATCTCCTTTCTTTGCCAATTCAGGACGAAATCCAAGAATGACGTTCGGTCCTTTGGAACATGGTAGGACGACAGCAGAGGATCAGGCTAATGGTATTGCACGGGAGATGAAGGAGGTATTAGATTTTCTACGAGATGAGTTGTACCGAGCACAAAGGATTCAAGAAGAGTCGGCCAATACCAGTCGGACTCCTGCCCCTCACTATTGTGTGGGGGATAAAGTTTTCTTATCAACACGCCATGTCCTCACTAAACGCCCTTCGAAGAAACTCGATTGGAAACGCATTGGACCATATATTGTGAAGCGGATCGTTAATCCTTATGCCTATGAGTTGGAACTCCCTCGTTCTATGAAAGTTCATCCCGTATTCCATGTCTCTTTATTGTCGTCTGCAGCAAACGATCCTTTACCAGGACAACAACAGTTACCACCACCACCGGTCGAAGTTGAAGGACAGGAGGAGTGGGAAGTCGAGAATATTTTGGATTCCAGGGATCGTCGAGGAAGATTTGAATACTTGGTTAAATATGCCGGTTATGACGAAGCTTCGTGGCAGCCATTGTCGGATGTCGAACATTCACCCGATATTGTCAAACGATTTCACGAACGATACCCACGGAAGCCTAAGCCTACCAGGAGATAGGCTGTAGAGGGGGGAGTGGTCTGTAACGGCAGCTAGTCGGATTGGCTATGTGAGTTGTCTGGGTACAAGGGAGAAGGATTATGTAGTGTGGTTGGGTTTAGTAAAGCGAGTTTCTATTATGTTCTTTCTGTTTCTATTACGCGAGGGTATGAGTCAGCATTGGGATAGGGTATGGATATATAAGGGGGGCGTTGTTTCGTGATTTCTTGTTTCTCTTTCTTTCTCTTTTCTCTTTACGCAACCTCTGTACTTCACAGTTACGAATACTATTTGGTTCGCGCTACGTCATAGGGTTTACCCGGTATACTAGACCAGGTACAACCATCCATAGTCCATAGTCCACAGTCCCCGTTCTCGCCTTAGGTATACCCTTCGGCCCCATAGTCCATAGTCCACGAACTTCCTACGTCCAAGTCTTCGCCTCGGTTGTATTCCTTGGCTTCATAGTTCCTACGCCCACGGTCTCCGTTACAACGAGTGTCCAAAGACATATAGAAGCTCTTTGTATCGACTGGGCCAAGAGAGACGGTATAAGACAACTGACAATGCTGTTGTTGGTGAGGCGATATCTCGGTTCCTGTATTTGATTGTGTGCAACCCGAATATTTCCGCCAAAACCATAATCTGATCTCTATCAAAGCGCAGAAATTCCAGGCACCAGTCATCTGTCTGATCATTTAAAACAAAGTCGGAAGTAAAATAATTTATTTTTCTTTTTGGCTGGCTCTTAAGGACGCAAGCGGCAAAGGTAAGAACATTGGATTTTTTCCGCCGCCTTCGTTGTAGGAGAGGAAGTAAATCAGCCTCAAAAAGAAACCTATCGGGGTCCATGATGAGAGAACACAAAAAACTTCTTAACGCTACTTAATATGTTCAAAAACATGAACGGTTACATCACGCCCATGTCATTTTTTTGCGAAGCCGTTAGCCAAAAGTCAAGTATGTACAAATGCCCTCCGCTACCACAAAGCACACTCCGCACTCTTTTGAAGTCTCCACTTACTTGCTCACACACCTATCAAATCAAAGCAATCCGAACCCACCCCACACTCTCTTCCTGTACCTGGCAACCCGACCCAAATTTAAAATATTCGGTGCGAAACCTCTCCAATCTCATGCCCAGATTGTGTGGAGGGCGGCGAAGTCTAGGAAAGAGACTAGCGGTCAGCACGCCCCCAAAAAATCCCACGACGTTCAAATAAAGTTTGGTTACCGAGAAAGGTTTGGCAGCAATCAGTTGTTCCCCACCACTCGCTAATGGATTCCTGAGTTGGGAATGGCTGGGCGGTTGACGATAATCGGGAGCTTGCCGCTTCTTATTTCAACGTCGCCTTCCTCGTCGTTCTTGGAGTTTCGTGATATGTAAAGGTAGATTCACCAACTACATAATTAGTCAACCCCGCTTATCGCTGTTCATCTTGCGGCGATGAAAGCTCTGGAATAACGAAGTAATAGTTTCGAAGGTCGAAGACTGATCCTGAGGGTTATTCACGCCATCGAAACCAAGATTTAGCAGGGTCCACAGGACAATTTTAGATCAACTCCGCTAGAAGTCTCGGAGGGTATTGTGAGTGCCGCAAGGGATGGAGTGGGGATACTACAAGGTGAAAAGTTGGATTCCAAAGTGAAGGTACTTGGCGTAAAGATTGGCTCAAGCAGATTGAATTATATTCTGGGTGTAGCCAGCTCGTTTATTGCATGGGCCGTTGGCCTTCAGTCTATATACCCCCCCCCCCCCCCCCCCCCAAAACCCCAAATTCCCGCACGCCTTTTCTTCTGCTGTCGGTACGACGTTGTTAGTATACGTGAATACGTGAAGCTTCCGGACCGCATCTTCCGAGGCATTTGGCACGCGTGGTACGTCATATATCGTACCCGTACGTGCACAGAGGTATGTAGATGGTTTCTCCGAGAAACAAATATAGACGGCCTGATATCCCGTCGGTAAACAAGAAACGATCTTGACTTTTTTGACGATTTCGATATTGATATGGACCTGGGTGTTGATTGTGTGTGTGTTGAAGATGAGATATTCACTTCTCTTCTTGATAGTTATGAATCTTTAGCAAATAATTAGTAGGGGAATTGATGGTTATCGAGGAGGAGAGCGGTATAGATCGCAAGTGCGCCGGATAGGGCTGCGCTTGATAATGACGCCTACTACGTATAAGCAGAGCAGAATCCGCAGTACTAGTACGACAAGCTGAGTTAGAAAGTGTTGCTGTCTGCGACACGTAACTTGTAGTGATGGGCACGAGACTAAGTCTCGAAACTTTTGTGCCCATCACTACACATAAGCTTAAGTACTTCGAGTATGAAACCTGTATAGGTTTGTACATGTACATGTACATGTAAGTACATCTTAGTGCAACGACCTTCTACATTTCAACTATTATAAACGCGCTCTTCGTTCACAAGTAATGCTTCATGACTACCCGTAACTCCACATATCGTTATTTTACGAGAGGAGTCATGTCGTATTGTATCTCGGAAAACGAGTGATAATCCATTGACTGAAAATCGGTGTCCACGTGACCTGCCTACTACATGTACATGTATCTTATTCTTGGCACATTGTTTCACGACATTTATACCAACCTCGATCGCAAGATTTATGGATCCATAGCTATATAACACATTCATTATCAGAACCTATAGTGATTAATATCTGGTGCGTGCTCCTACGAAGCCAAATAGCAAGGGATCTCAGTATTCAAAGTCTATAGCTATTGGTTTACGAAATATACCACGCTATATAACAAATAGTGTGGTCCATGAGCTGGTTCGAGTCGAGCCAGGCGGTGAGTTCGAGCTGACTCGGCTTTTTTGACTACTAGACTCGAGTTAGCTCGAGCTTTTGTAGAGGCTCGTGAAAAGGCTCGAGCTGGTGGCCAATGATCGATATAACAGGAAACACTTCCGCCAAGATCAGGAATTGACGAAGATCAAGATCAAAGAGCAGGGAAAATAGCTCCACGGAACGATTATTTGTAATTTGAGGGGTCAGATCCCCCAGGAAGATGATAATCCTATGTTTAAAGTTCCCACAACTCCTCGAGACATATCAAAATATAACTAAATTAGGCTCATGGACCACACTAAATTATTATTAACAAACTGTCAGATTAATGGGAGTTACAGAAGGAGAATTGTTTCTATCAATCGGGAGTAAGGTTAAGGAGTACATTCTACTTGTAGTCCTTTAACATTGATATTTTCATATACCTAGGCCGGTTAGACTGCAGTTGGTTCAGCTGTTTCTGTCAATTGAGACCCTGGAGGAGAATGGCTTGGGGGGCTTGACCTGGTCGATGCAGCGGGTTGAGAAGAGGTTTGTTTACACGTTGAACAGGCTTTGTAACTTATATGTCTAAACTATATAGTCTTCCTCCGTCACCAGGAACATTTTCTATTGGTTGCGTACTATTTCTAATATTAGTTGCATATCATTAGACAAAGAACTACTCCCGAGATGGAAGGGAACTGGCATTATATTAAAAGGCGTGTAGCTATTGCAATTGATGGATATAAATGAACAAACACTGACAGAACTACAGCTATATATATTTTTATATATCAAGGTCGAATTTCCCTGATAGCATTTTATCATGAACTACATGTACATACTAAAGCTACTCATTGAATGACTTAGAGTGCATACTAGAGCTAATATATCACAGATTACCTATTAGGAGAGATGGAGTTGAGGTTTAGTGCGTGTCTGTACTTTTGGATGACCCAATAATCCAGAATGACAGCAATAATCTAAGAAATTACTATCGTAGTACCGCGCACCTCCATTTCCTCACTACATTTGGGCGGCCGGAGGCCGCACTCCGCTTGTAGTCTATAAATTAATGCTTAAATATATGTTAGAATCAATGAATTAATAATATAATACTCGCATCCTCTGGGCTGGTGAGACGTAGATTTCAGGACTTCATATCTCAAAAAAGTACATGTATCCAGGTAATATTTCCTCCTAAATCTAAATTGTATAAGCTTCTTCATTGTAATCACGAAGCATTTTATTGATCAGAATAGTCTGTATATCACAGATAGAAGCACATACATGTATGTGATATATATAGACAAAGAACTACTCCCGAGATGGGATCCGGGAAGGGAAGGGAAGGGAGCTGGCATTGAACAAACACCGACATGATTGCAGGTATATATATATAGTCTTATATATCAACCTTGAGCTCCCAGATAAATCTCCAGGAGAGTCAAACTATCTTTTGTGAACTACATATTAATATTAACAATTCGTGCGAGCAAGGAGGGGTTGGTGTGCCCTGGTTGTGAGCTCTTTATTATATAATTAAGGAAGAACTGATATAGCTATAAGTATAGAACTACTCATGCTCACGCTAGAGGTTTTAACAATCCGGATCCGCAATAGGTAGATAGTAGTACAGTGCTCACATGGCCACCAATCATATTGCTCCTTTCAGGACTTTTGGCGTTTAGGAATCTGAATGCACCCCCTCCCCTCCTCGGTTCAGATTTTCAGAATCTGAAAATCTGAAAGGTTGCTTTCAAAATTTTATTGCTCTAAATTCCATCAAAACCGGTTCTAAATGCCCACGGGAAATCATCAATGTTTATACACGTACCTACATGTGCAAACTGCCTACCATCACCAGTTATAATTCAGCGAGTATTTGAATTACATAGTACTCAATAGCTTCTTAATACTAACGGGCTGAACTTTACGAGCTCTAGTGAATAGAGCAACTAGATTTAACCGGCGAGATACATGCATTATGGGGTATAGATACGCACTAATATATATTGGCGAATCTACTCATAGTTAATGTGAAACGACGTCAGCTTGCGGCAACGGCAATGTAAATGATATATGGCACCATAGGCATATATAACTTTTTATATAGTGGCATTTGATCGTCAATATTTTGCATACATGTAGTTATTGTTGATCTGATAGTGAGTACTTAGGTTAGCGCAGTGTTGAACTTTCTATGATACTTTAAACG